GGGTGTCATCAGTTTTAATTACTATTGCTTTTTTTTTGTTTGTTCGGTTTTTTTGTTTGTTTGTTTTTTGCTGAGTTTGAGTATTTTTAATCTACCCCCTTTATCTCCTCTTACCAAATAAAAATAAAGAAACTAAGTTAATATTTGTCATAGTATATTTACCATACAGTTGCAAAACTCTAAAATTAAAAGCAAATTAAAATGTATTTTAAATTAGATGGAAACGTGCAGAAGAAGATAAAGCTGCAGGAACTGAAGCAGGCTAATCATAAACGGAGCTAATAGCCTAATTACAAAGCTTACCATAAAAAAAAAAGCCCAAGAATAAACATAAAAATCTAAACAAAGGGAAAAAACCTGTTTTCTTATTCAGACAGGCAGTCACATTTACACCCTTACACACGTCACAGTATCTGTACACCTAAAACAGATACATGAGTCTGTTTGACCGTGGCTTGTTATTTGGCCATTCCTAAGCTCCATATTATACGATGGGAGGTCTCAAAATTCTGCTCCTGAAATTAATAATTTCAGGGAGGAAAAAAACTGTATGAACCTACTAAAGACTTTTTTTTTTCCTGACTCTACTTTCCTTCTGCTTAGGTTAAATATTCAAGATTAGCATGAAGCATATAATCTTACCCCAGATATCAGTGCTACTACTTTTTCATTCTACCCACATTACCAACACCATGTGACTAACAATCAGTAAACATAGTATCACTGATTATTGTTTAGAGGCCATAAGCTGCAAGGCATAAAAGCATTGCTGGCAACGACAGTACCCCATAAAAGAACCTTAAGAGCCAGCACAAAGTAAGATGAACTACTGCCAATAATGTTGAATAACTTTTACGAAAATATTCAAAGTATAGATAGGATCTAGGTCTATTCCACCAACTGTTTTTTTTTTTCCTGACTCTACTTTCCTTCTGCTTAGGTTAAATATTCAAGATTAGCATGAAGCATATAATCTTACCCCAGATATCAGTGCTACTACTTTTTCATTCTACCCACATTACCAACACCATGTGACTAACAATCAGTAAACATAGTATCACTGATTATTGTTTAGAGAGGCCATAAGCTGCAAGGCATAAAAGCATTGCTGGCAACAACAGTACCCCATAAAAGAACCTTAAGAGCCAGCACAAAGTAAGATGAACTACTGCCAATAATGTTGAATAACTTTTACGAAAATATTCAAAGTATAGATAGGATCTAGGTCTATTCCACCAACTGTGTTCAAGGAAGTTACCTGTCTGTAATTTGCTTCTCAACCCTCCATATGATACGAAGCAATGATACAGAAGTTCTTTCAACACTGACACTTTCTGTAAGTTGTTGAATTGCTTAAAGAACACTATCAAAATCTTAAATTTTGTCCAAAACCAGAGGTTTGAACTTATAGTGGAAATTGAGAGATTTATTTTAAATAATGTCAGTACTTAACAAATGCTAAGTTTTAACAAATACTAAGAAGTTACATCAAATTCTTAACTTGTAATACATTTCATTTCTAGGTTAAAGCAACCAAAGGTAAAGAGATGGAGAGTGTGGGCGTGGAGAAGAGGACAGATATCCTGATATCTGCCTGGAACAATCTCTGCCCCCCTTGGAGTTCCTTTGTTTTGGCTTGTTTTGTTTTGAGTTGCAAGAACTCTGCAAATGGGTGTTCCCAGCTTCTGGCAGCCATATGTGCTGCCTACCATCTGTTTTCATTCCACTGCACTATGGAGACAAACATACTTTATTTTTAGTGTTCTACATTTCCTGATGTTGCACATAATAGGGATTGTATCTCATATCTAAGCCATTATGTGAAAAATCTTCCATGGATAACTAGAAGTAAAGGCAACAGATTAGCACACAAGATCAGACGAGATAATTTTCATTCTCACTGCAAGCATATAATTTACACTGAAGTTTGCTTGATTCCTGTATACCTGTGCTTTCTCTCAACACTGCCTACAAGGGGCTTCCTTCATATGTTTTAAAGATACATTTTCCCAGCAACTTCCTGGGGTGTAGGAAATGACTACTATAATTTCATGGGTTGCCACTAGTGGTTGCTATTCTGCACGCAGCATTCAGAGTCGAAAGAGGGTATGAATAAATAAACAGCTGTCTGATCAACTGTAGTGAGACAACAGCGCAGTACGACAAATAGCTGTTTGAAAGGAAGAATTCTGTACACAGGCTCCCACATAGATCTGTTGGAGACCGTGCACTGCAAAATTAGTTCGCAAGCATTAATTGGATAGTATAGTATTTATGTAAATTTGATTGAAAAGATTTCACTGTTACATCTCAGCACAACTTTGGAAGGCACCCATGGCACACTGGACAGCTAGCGATTCTTTAAAATGCACCAGACTGAACAGAACTCTACAAAACACTGCTGGTTTTACCTATATTGACATACATATCTAAGCAACAGTATTTTTTCTTTCCCCATTTAACCTCCACCTCCTCAAACTTTTTCACAAGCTGAGTAAACACTGACTTTTAGCTACATATGCCCTGATCAACATCTCCTTCAACTCAACCAGTATCATCATTGCTAGTGTAACTTAATACCCATACTTACAGAGCACATCGCAGCACAGATCATTCCACCACAAAATACTGCAAATTCAGGATACTGTAAGTTATTATTAAGCAACTATTGATGAGGAGTTACCTCTGGTTTCAAAAAAATATTCAAAATTTATTAAGAGTTGCACTGAAATAGAGATCAACAGAGAAAATTAGTGCCTTTAAACCAGCTTATGCACAAAGAGATTCAAAATGTTCACTGTTTATAGGGTACTCCAAAAGACACCTGAAGGAATTCCACTTAACTTTTTCAGATTAGTTCTATTGTCTCATGTTTTTCCTCATGAATTCTTTTGTAAAATAAGCACTTTTATTCATTGCATCTGACCTTACAAATACAGAAATACTTCTTAATTAATTAGATCGGCAAGGCATTTTCAATCTTTTTAATTCATTCAAACATTTTAATAATGGACTTCAACTACTCTACTATTTGAGTGGATGATTTTATTAAGTTATCTGCAGCTATTACTCTTCCCCCAGAGATTCTGACCAAAGTTGTGAGAAAATTACTTTTATCTTACTACTTTTAAATTTATTCTGCCTTCTGCTTTCAAATTATCAAGTGCAGTTAAGCTGTTCTGCAATTCCTCATAGTCTTCTATTTTAAGTAATACAACGCAAGAAATAATTTAGCTAAAAAGATACTACTTTAAGACACCAAAATTAAGAAGCAGAAACATTTTTGTTGATTGGTGTCACCAAGTCTTCTTTTTTTGCCTTTTTTCTTCCAACAGAGTATACAGATTAGTCTAGAATACTTTTCTGCTGGGTTCCCATTCAAAATCTTAGACTAGCATTTAGCTGAAACTAAATACAGGAGTTTTGAATGGAGACTGTCAAATTCACCTTGCATTAGTCAAGTGTCAGTGAACACCCTTCCATACAGTTCCCTGTCACTGTGTTATTCTGTATTAAGGGAGTAAGGCTCTCTCTTTCTAATCCCCCTCAAACTGTCAATTCACATTCTGAAACGAAGTATATAATCCATCATACATAATTCTGGCACTCCCAAGGTGCCATAATCTCTACTTTTTAGGATGTCTGTGGTATAATTTTGATGCTTACGCTCATTCTGCTTATGCAGTTTCCTAATAAAATCTGAATAGTCTTATATTTGCTTATGTTTGTTGCAAAGTCAGCAAACGTTTATTTCGACGTAAATTATTTTTGACAATCATTTCAAATCAATACAGTGGTTGGAAGGGTCAGAAAAAGGAAGTAAAAGCTTTAAAAACACTGATCTTGAGAACATCATCCCTAATTTTCACTTATTTTAAAGTGAAACTATAGTTTGAACTTTACATTATAGTCCTCTAATAGAAAATTTCTTGTACAATCCAGCCATAGCCTTCCTCAAATTCTATGATAAAGACTACCTAATCTGAACATTCATGCCATACTTTATTCACAGCAGTGCTACATCTGATATCTCCCAGGTAGCATTTTTAAATATATTCCATGAAAAGAAATTTAAACACTGCATTAATGAACAGAAAAATTGTATATACTTTTATATCAAATTTGGGAATAGTATTCAAAGTAACTCAAGACAATACCTTAAAAAGTGATTTCAACCTACATGCTTAATATATCTTTTAAAAAGTGGGCAAATCTGAATTTCTATCATTAAAAAGTATTTATAGTGAATAATGTATTTTTTCATAGAAAAAAATTCTGATGTTCTTACTCAGTTTTAAGTCTCAGCTTCATATCACATGGCCATGACAGTTTTAGGTACATAATGAACACTTCTTTCAAAATTAGTTTATTTTCCTAGGGCACCATTATATTTCCAAACATTTCTACGTATTAAAGCAAGTTTAATACTTAGATATCTAACAAGATCATTCCAAGACTGCTTCAAAATTAAGATAAATTTCAGATCTTCTGGTTATTACATAAAACCATATTTTTCTTTTAAAATGTCTAATTCTTCTATTATTCTTTAAAATATTTTAAAATAGTCACAAACATCTGTTGTAATCGGAAAGTGGAGTTCAAACAGTTTTTCCAAGGAGCAGATTAGAAAAAAAAAAAAAACAACAAACCAACAAACAGCAAGCCAACCCTAAAACTCTAAAATCAATTACAATTGCTCTATGCTCTTATGATCATGTTTTGTTTCCTAAAACCTGTTTCCTTTTCATCATAAAGTTTAAGAGAAGGGTATTTAATGATTCGATCCCTTAATTTTGGTGTTTGTTTTTAAAGCCAAGAGGTTTTCATTGTGATGTTTACCTACTCAATACACGTGCAGTTTCAAGTTGGTTAAATGGAAGCAGTGAAACAGGAAATAAGCTGCCAGCAGGATGAACAGGAACTGCCAGCCAAATCTTCATGTTGTATCCACACTATAACATCTTCAAGGAACCCAAAGAACACCTCTTCAGTTCAGGTTCTCAGAGGTCACCGAGTTTTATTATTATCTCCAAGCAATTTTCTCCACATCCTGTTAAGCTCTCTCTAAATAGCTGTGTGTGTTGCCATGCAGCTTCACCATCCCCTCCACTTAGAGTTGCTTCCAACGTAACTTCTGTTGCACCAGAAAAATCTGAATAGGAGCAAAGATTTTTATCTGTTGGAGGAAAATATAAACAATCCAGTAAGCTACTGCTCCAGACAGCATATAACGATAAAATGCGTGTTAAAGACGGTAAGTTGTAATGAATGTTTAAAGATCTCAGTTGCAACTACTCAAATTCATCTGCTGATAAGTGGTAGGAAAAAAAACAGCTGCAAATTTTTAGTTATTATTTGTATAGCATTGTGCTCAGAGAACCTAGTCAAGACCGAAGCCACTGCACATAGAAGCATCTATCCTTCCTAGTAAAACACATAAGTGTCTGTTCTTGCAAACCCTACTCTGTTACAGGTAGGGCTGTGTATATTATAAAACTGGGGTTTGTACCAGTTTTGATTAAATGCACAGTATTTTCTTGACCTTGCTAAGAAAGACTGAATTGGAAAAGTCAAAATGCATCTGCATTTCATTTTTAGTATTTGCACACTGCTCTCTCCATATAAACTATTTATTTCCAGTTACACCTTTGCTGCATGATATAATTCATTATTTAAATTCCACACTCACCTCCTATCAGAGCAATTTCTGCTGTTGGAGAGCAAAGTCTCCACTTTATTCTTCCACTTTGAAATGTCTGACTGCTTGTCTTAACTGAAATGTTATCTATTTTTAGACCGACTGACTTGCACTCAAACTTCCAGCTGATGGAAGCAGAGGATGACCCCTCTTTTCGGGCTAAATAAACCTAAATGGAAAAAAGACATATTCAGCATGTCAAACTGAGATGACCAATACATATCTAATTAAACGTTGTAACAGGAACATAAAAGCTTAAGATAAACACACTTTCATTCTTTATCAAGCCTCTGAACTTTTAAAACAGTACATAGTACAATTTTGTATATAATCTCGTTCTGAATCCTTAAGTCTATTCCACAGTTATTTAATTGTACATGTTCATAGCCCTCCACTAGAAAACACTAATCTATTTCAACATGCTTGGTAAAGTTTAAGCCACAAAAATACCTAAGTTGATTGTTGTAAAGAAAAGCAGACTTCCGTTTTTTATATAAATGCACTGGCCCAGACATTTTGATTGTTCAGTATCGCTGATGAAGAAAATTATGTAATCAGTATTTTGGATTCTCCCAATGTGGCTGCTGGCTGCACGCCACTTCTAGTACTTGACATGTCTTGGTTGAAGCAAATCATACACGCTAGCCATATATAAATCCCATATTAACATTATTTGAACTGTTAGAGATTTGCATAATTTAATATAGTCCTAATGCTGTTCTAAACTTCACTAGCTGAACAGTCAAGCTTATATATTAACCTTCATTAATTACTATGAACCCTCATAAGAATTTTGTAATGAGAGTCTGATGGTCCTTCAAAGTCCAGCATCCATTAACAGCAAACCAAGATAACAGACCTTACTACAGAGTAAAGAGCCAGAACTGCCATGCTCCTTTCAGAATCTTTAGTTAAGAAAACTTATCAATGTTCTGTCACGTCCAGGCTTCTGATTAATGTCATACTGAACAGACTTAGACAGCTCTTTAGTTTTTAATCTAGAAAGAAACAACCCTGAATAAAATTATAATAAAACACAGTAGTATGTTTTACTAAAGATCCCACCCTTATATAGAAATGTTATTGACGGACTATAAAACAGAATTTTAGTGTTACTATGCACCAAGCATAATGTTAATTTTCGTGTTTAAGAAAGCTGAAAAATCCAAAGGTGTGAGGTGTTACACTGAAGATCATCTATGAAAATATAACAATTTAACCTGCTTTCATGTGAATATAATCTTAATGTTCATGAAAGTGCTGATCTCCACACAATTTTTTTTAAGTACCTCAGCTAGCTCTAGCAACAGATTTCCCTTGATCAGATCCTACTGCATTGCCATATCTCAGCCAGGAAGCCAAAACACTCCATTAATTACCACTTGGTTGAGGTGCACTAAACCTAGGCTTTTAAGGGTAAAACCTAAAGTATTAGCTGTCTCATCTTCCATCATAATATCCAGTCATTTAATCAGAAAAATAGAAGGCAGTTTTCTTTTGTGTCTTTTTGACTGTTCTCTAACTTTCACACCTGCCTACTCTTTTTCCAGTATTATTTGAAAAAAGTCTGTATTCAGGAAAGGGCGGGGGGGTTTTTTTTGGAAGACAGACTGATTCACATTCCCTTCCACTGGAGCAATTCTTCTGGAAAACAAGCTTTTAGAAACCCACGGATTTCAGATCTACAAGTTCTTATATTCTTATTATCACCTACTGTAGTGTGCTTGTTTGAGCCCTGGATGTCAAGTTATCTCTGGGTAACCTGATTAAATTTGTTTTGTACCTGTTTCAGTTGTGTACCATAAAGTCAAATGACACTGAATAGCAAGAAAATACACAAATATGATGGAGATGGCTATTATCAGATTGGCCAAGATTATCATCTATGTGAATTATTCCGAGCAACAACATTGCAAAGACAGAATACATAACTGATGGTTCTTTTCTGTTACATCTGTGCTAATACCTACAGTTACCTTTACTGTGGCTTTTATATTTAAATTCCCTTCAATTCATCACATACTAGATGACAAACAAAATATTTCTCCTTTGGCTGACATGTTTCTTGGACAGCTGCCGAATCAAACTCCAAATCTGTACCTTGCAGATCTACTAGGGGCATTACAAAAAGAACAGGCAAAGCCCAAACAACCTTTCCCTCTGCTGTCTCCCATAATACAAACAATCCCCAACGAAGTGTCAGTTTAGATTCATACACAGACTTTCTGCAGGATGCTATTCCTGTAGAACTAACCTGCCTTACCCAGAAGCCTGAAATATATCTGCATCTGTAGCTCCTAATTTCTCAAGACCATCCTTCCATCCTTTATCTAGAAAAACCAAGGTGCTGTTGAACACAAGGGTAGTCTTTTTGCCTAGTCTTATAGATCAGTCCCTCCCTGTTTTATCTGATTAGTAGAGCTGAGCAGAACAGCAGACTTGGAATTGGTTTCAGTGCAACAGTCAGGATAACTGATCATTGGGGATTTGAAGATAGAATGTGTTATCAGACTTTTAGCAGATCTTAGGGAAGCAGAGAACAGTTGTCCCTCAGTCTGAGTTTTTGTTACTTCTCTTTTCCTATTGAAAATGTACTGTTGTACCCTGTTGTAACATCTTTCATACTATTCTACAGTTTCTTCCCTTTCTCCTTCTACGTAGAATAACCTCTCCAAGCTATTCCCCCAATGCATTTTGCAAGTCAGTTATATAAACACCCAGCACAGAAAACCTCAGAAGACAGCTACATACATAGCTCCATTTTTCATCAAAGGCAAGCAAACCATTGCCTAAACTAGAAGAACATTTGGCCAGAGACTTCTCAGACCAGCAAAATGACAGGGGAACAAAGCAATAACATGCTATAGTCCCCGAGAGGAACGCTCAGTTCCACAGCTGGTAGCTGTTGCAGGAAAAGCTGTTTGCTAGCAAATGACCCCGTCCCATCTCACAGGCATCAGTTCTCCTCTTAGATTTAAAGCGTATGACTCTTCTGCTCTCAGTGTCATAACAGATAGGAAGCATTCTGGGCAGGGTATACAATAATCTGGATAACTGACAGGTTTTTGTCTTCTTGCAGATGGAATTGTAACATTTAAGATGACAATTTCTTTCTTTGGCTGTGTATCAAAGAGATATGATAGACTATAAAGCTATTACCCAAAACAAAACAAAAATAAAATCTTTTTTGGAGAGGAGTGCTGCTTCTCAATAAAACAGTATTTGTGCATTTACCCAAAAGCCTAAGAAGGAAGCCATTTTTAAAAAATTTGGTCCTTTAGCAAGGATTTTACTTATCTGCAGAGAATTTGGTCATCCTTTCTGAAAGACAAACTAAATTTACTTTCAATATTTTAAATCATCAGCAATCTTACCTGAAGCTTAACAGTTACATTTACTAACATCAGCTAAATTCTATGGGCACCAAGAGAGGTTTTGATGACAAACATTGGCAAGGGTTCTCTATTTTGTTGGGGTTATCATACTTTCATGGTATTTTACACTTTTAATATCTGTTATTCTTACCATTTTCCAATCTGTTTCAACCTTCCTCCAAATAGACTCTGCTTTCCAAACACCTGTTTCCCAGCCACTTATTTTTTCATTATTGTTGGAAATCCGTGTATAACTATCTTCTACTATATTGTAGATGAGGTGGAAGAGTTTAGATGTCTTCTCTTTTTCAGAGGGAATAAAGAGTACTTCTTTTCTTTTCTGAAAAAGGGAAAAAATATAAGCACCTTCATTCCCAACACATTTCAGTAAGACTATGTCACTTTCAAACAGCAGTCCATGGTTTCCCAATTCACTTTTGCTGCCAATTGAAAAAAAATTGAAAAAAACCCACAGTTTTCTACAATAGGCCTGCACCTTTCCAGAGGGGACTAGTAAATTTATTTTTTAAATTTTCATATAATTACTTTTAGAAGTAAATTATTAACAAAATAACATAAAATTAGCAAATTTAAGTAAGAGGTTAACATGTTAGGAACAGAATATTTTATGTTCAGTATATTTCTTGTGCAATCAATAAGTGAATGGTGATTTTGATTAGCAAATGTAACTCTGTGACTATCACACACAGGTGCTTGTATATGACAGTTTACAAATCAACTTCAAAAAAATTTAAAGTACAAACTTAACTTCACAGTTTTGGTTTGGTTTTTTTGTGGGTTTTTTGGTGTTTTTTTAAAGATTTGCCATTGTTCTTTTGAGTTTCAGCAAAGCAGAAATTAAATATTCTAAACTATGGAGAATTGAAATAAACTCTTAGTTTCTCAAACTTAAACAATCCTATGAAACTCATTAATTTAACCCAACTGGTTCTATTTAGGATTGTCAGTCATTCCACATGACAGGATCAATACAAAATTGATGTAATGAGTGATGGGGTAAGTCACACCTTTGCATGCTAGCTCAAGCTAAATACGGCTACTGTTCTGGAAAACTGCATCGTAGCATAAAATAAAAATAGAATCTTGCTTTCAGAAAAAGTAAAAAATACTGATATGAAAAATCAATCTAGCTTATTATTTAAGAGATTGTTCCATTTACACAATCCTAATTGCCCCCACATTGTTTTATTAACAAAAATAGTTGGTCAAAAACCTACCTCCAGGCTTTAACCAATAGTAACTAACAATACAAATAAACATTTTTTAAAGTTTTCCAAACTGCCTTCAACTGCCTTAGACCTCCTAGTTCTGTCACGCTGTAACTAGTTAAAAGGAAAAAAGGTATTTTTTTATTAACTTGTAAGAGCAAAACACACTTTAGACCAAGGATTCTCAAACATTTTTAGAATCCATGGACCACCATCAATCCTCAAAAATTACTCATGGGCCTCTACTGAACTCACATCAAACTTGCACCTAACGGCTTTGCAAGTTTCACTGTTTGAACTAAATCTGTAGGCTGAAGTGCTATTCCTCTGCAGACCATTAATCACAGAACCTCTAGTTAACCACCTCTAAGAGGGTCACCAGTGCAAAAGTTAAATACCTCTGGACCAATTTCACCTCTGGCTACTCGCCAAGCCATTGAACCTGAAGTCCTTCCACCATATTCTCCAGGTCTAGGTGTTTTGGGAGAAATAAATTCAACAAGTTCCACAATTGTTCTTTCCAAGAGCTCTCTTTTTCTATTTTCTGACAAAGATCGTTGTCTCTGAAAATACATTTAAGAAACAAAGTAAAAAATTAAGAAAAATGGTATTTGGAATTCTGTTCTACAGAGGCACCAATGGGGAAAAAAGATTTGAAAAAACAGACTAAGATTCAAAGCCTAGACCAACTGTTAGAAACACTAACCTTAAACCAAATACAAAATGCAAATATAAATCAGTCATAACTGCATGGTTATTCAACAGTTGTGCTTATTCTGTGAACTTGCATGCACTATGTGGATTTCTTTTAAAATAAGGTTTGTGCTATGTTTATAATACATTTGCTTGGTGATAAAACACTTCCATAGCATATTTTGTAGCTATTCATATGTATTCTGTACCATAGCTGTTCTTGCTATCATTCGGGGGAAAAGAGAAAGCAAGCATAATTTTTGGGTCAAACTCTTCTTCTCCAAGGTGGAGTGAGTGGGTTGGCAACAGTCTTGGTTTTGAGATTAACCCAAAACAAAAGATACAGCTGGTCTCTAAGAGAGTAATTTCACAGTGACCAATTCTATCATAAACAGATTATGACATCCATATTTTTGCAGATATCAGAAAACAGAAAAATGTTATCCCCTACACTTCCAGGTAAAGTAGTGGAGAGAGAATTACATAACATACTTTCTTTGCCTACATGAATAAAACTACAGGCATTATTTTGCACACAACTTAAAATTGAGAGGCTGGGATTTTGTGTCCATGATTTTCCTATCAAATATACAGAGCTGGTATGTAAAGTCTTTTTCCTTAACTGTGGATACAGCCACGCAGGGCTAGAAAACAGTTCAACACTGGGGATGCAAATGATTACAGATGATCTTTTTTCTTTATACTTTGGTGATCACCCAAGGCTTGCACACTCAGCCCACTAGGACCTGAAACTTCAGGCCAGTAAGTATTCCAATTATCTCAAAAGCAGTCCTGACCCCAGGTATTTTTGCTGTTAGGGATCAGAAAAGAGGCATTTGAAGGGTGTTTCTTCCAGACAGCAATGTGAAACTGGATAAAGGAAAGTAGATATAGAGAAATGATCAGAAACAGCTCCAGCTGAACAAATTCCAGCTGCCAAATACCGGTTCTAAGACAGCAAGGGAGAAATACACCTCTGCTTGTGTTGATGGACAACAAGCAGTGACTCCAGCAGTTCCTCATGAAACACCAGGCTTTCCTGAATCTAACACTTGCCTGAGCACTTTGGATATCCATATTCAGTACTACAGATCTCATTCCATCCAGAGGAAGTCTGATATGGCTTACCCCAAGTTAACAATACCAATCTAGTTTCTTTGAGCCACTTTGATGTAGAAAACCCAGTGTCAGGGGTCATCACTACTGAAATTAGTGATGCCACACTAAGAACTGATTACCCTTGTCTGCAGCTGTTGTAACAGTATCTGAAAAAAAAAAAAAGTTAAAGAACAGTGCTTCAACACAAAAAGGGTGCTTCAGAAGACAGGCCTCTTATGTATGATAGAAGAAATCAGTTAAGTGCCTCAATTGTAAAAAGTACAAGTATGCTGACCCTTGTCATCTGCCCTAACCCAGCAGACTCTTGCATATAAATGCTAGCAGCATGTAAGACATGCATAATGTTCAGACTCTGCAGAGATCAACACTGCCTGTGCTGTGAACCTCCTACAAATGACGCTGTCATCTACAGCATCCATGTGCTGAAATGGATTCCAAGAACTCCATTATCAGCGGCCATGGCTCAAACTTCCTGCTGTTGTTTTTTCTTAAGGTATTACCCTCTACATATGTGCTCAGTCCCCCCTTTCTTTGGCAAAGCGTATAGGAAGGAAGTGAGCTTGTGAACTACAGCTTTAAAATCAGTTCTGCATCACGTGCAAGCTATGCTGTTGATGCTTCCTGAAGGGCTCTGTGCCTTCAGGAGATCAATAACCTGTGATTTAAGTGGACCCACTGCTGGGTAAGCAACAGATAATTTAAGGGTAGAAATTGAATTTTAAACCTCTAAACAAGGAACACTGGTTCATCTCACATCAATCACCATGAAATGGTTGCAATTCAACCTAAATTACTAGTTTTCCTTTGAAGAGCTGACCTGGCTGTAGCTATAACCATTCACAATCACTACCAAAAAATGAGGCATGGAGCAAATAAAAAAAATAATTTGTTCCCCGCCACACCATCCAATTTTCAATGAAAGCAGTGGAAAGTTCAGGGTCCTCTTCTCCCTTTCTATAGGGGTAACATGCAATGGACTGGAATAGGGCACTGCCTATTGAAGGTAACATACAGCAGACTGGAATACGGCAGTGCCCATACAAAGTAGGTGAAGAAAAATTTGTAGTCAGGGTGATATGGTACTACAGAATAACATCAGATGGTTGGCAATCCGGAGACCACACATCCATTTAGGATGCCTGACCCAAATAAAACACACACGGTATTTCTGAGAAGTAAAATAGTGTACTGAACAGATTAAATTATGCTTGCACCTTTTCCAGCTAATAGTGAGTCACTCAACATCCTTTGAACTACTGTGTGTCTCCGCTTGGCCACAGCTGCTGCTCTTTATGCAGGAAAGAATAATAATGATCTCTGATTCCATTTTCACTAATATTGCAGCATAGTTGATAACATATACTGCATATTGTGCTTCTCTTCAGTTGTAACTTAGAAGAATTGAGCTTGAAAGATGAAGTGTTGGAGCTCTCCACCAAAAGATACCAAAACTATAACCCCTCCTAGTGTGGAATCAGTCGCTAGGAGATGATGGGAAAAGGGAAAGTTAGTGGAGGCCTCTGCCTACATCAGTTATCTGCTGAATAGGCTGCAGCGAAGGAAACAGCTCACTATCTGAAATGGAGACTTGCGACCGAGCAGAGTAGTGAAAACCTGCTATAAGATGTCTTGATAGTTCCAAGGATGAGCTGCCTTACCACTCTACTGACTACAGAAGCTTCTAAATACAACATGGAGCTCCTCGGACACCGATTTTGTTAATGGCTCCTTGATTCCCACTGCACTGTCATCTTAGTACAAACTTTAAGAAAGGTTCTTTGGCTAGACAAATGTAGGAAAAAAACCCTGTTCTTTCAGCAATCCGATGGCAAACTGCCTCTAAGCCCCGAAATCCAATTCCAACTATAACAGACAAAAGAAAAAAGGAGTAACAGCAGTTACTTACAGGGATTAAACTTATTACTAATTTAATAAATTAAATTAATCAAACATTCTGAAGAGCTACCATACAAAAGGAAATGTGCATGGGAGGAAGGGAGGGTGAGTATCATTCAGCTTGTACAAAGGGAGAGTAAGTCATTCCTGAGAATAAGATACCATTAACAGACTGACAAAGGTGTTCTAATAAAATCACAAGACAGCTTTACTAATACTGGAAAGCTTTTTTTTAAAGCGTGCAGCATAGAGAAGAAAGGGCTGAGATTTTCCAGATGTAGAGAAAGGAAGACCGGAGAAATACAAGAGTGTCTTGGAAGCATATGTATAGCTTTCTTCCCTGTACTCAGTTTTTAATGAGGTTGTCATTTAAAACATGACCACAATGCCTGTTCTTTCCGTTTGAAAAGCTCTCATGTAAGCTCACGAGCTGCACAGTCCTATAAAAACAGGTGGAAAGGAGGAAGAAACAGGCTAATAGACCATGCAGCACCATCTGTTGGAGGTGGCAATGCATTTTTACTGGAGTTCTCTAAACTTCTTTAAGTGAAAGATGACATCACGAGGTGAGAAGGAGGCCAAGCAAGCCAGCCCATGAGTCAGTTGCATATACCTTCCTGATTCCATCAATATTGTCAGAGTAATTTTTTCAACCTCCTAGTGCTCCATTTCCAATGTGCTTTCCCTATGAGTAACTGGTGAAGGAGAAGAGTCTGGTGACTGGTTTCTGTTGCCAGCAGATCAGAAGAAATGCCCCTCAGATCAGTTTTGCAGCCAGGAGCCAATGGAGAGGATGTCACTAAATTCCTGCAACCCTGCACAAAGCAGATGCGTTCCTCAACTTGAATTTCTGATCCTTTACCTCCTTTTATTTTGCTGCTCTGGTCAGTCTTCTCAGTGCTCCACTCCACTATGTGACTTTAATTTTTCATTACTGATAAAATGATTTCAGACCCTGGCTTCAAACATGAGCCCAGCTCAATTCTTAGTGTGTGGCTATAACCCTCAAGCCAGCAGGCCTCTAAAAAGGCATAATCTGTTATTAAGCCACCAGTTGTATAATAACACTGGAGTTAAAGTTTCTATGCACAGGAATTACGCCTGGAACAAAGTGGGGACAAAATGGAACCTCACAGGTTGTTCAAGGTTTTGTGGTATTGTAATATATTGAGTCAAAAAGAGTTCATTCTGTCCCAAGCAGGGAGTGGAAGAAGCTTAGCATGCTGAGTGCACTCAGGTTCTGTGACTATGACATGCAGATGCAAATGGCTCCATGTGTCTTGGGGACATTAGGCATGAACAGTGTATGTGGCTCTAAGCCAAAGCTCTGCTGACAGTATCAACATTTCTTGAAAGTCTTGAAAACAGCCTGCGAATCTTTCCTCACGCTTCCTAGAGCTTGTAAAAAGTCACAGAAAACAAATTAGGCCTACATTTCTTATAACTATAAATACTACTGCTTTCAAGTTATAGCACTATTGATGTGGAAAATGCTCAGCCACCCTCAAGGAGCCCACACAGTTACAAAGCAGCTGTAGTTTACCACCAACATCTGTTGATTCATTAAGTCTACTCGAAAGCCATCAAGAAAAATATATATACACACCTGGTATATATACACACACACACACACACATTTGACTATGTAAGAGATAATATAATCCTCTTACATGCTGTTCTTTATCTCATTTCACGTAAGTTCAGCACTGTAACTGATTCTTATGTATTCAGTGTAAAATATGTCTGTATGGTTAGCTGTATTTTACATTCCATAGTGCACGGACACTCCTATCAGGTTACCAAATGCACTCCTTTGTTCAAGGACTTCATATTCTGGAAATTACAGAAATCCACTAAAGAAAGGTACATACCGTTCTATTTAGTGCATTAATTGTTTCACGTAGTGTAGCTTCACTGAGGGCTGTCCTTCTAGAGAGTACTTCTTCATGTTTACAGCTGTATCTCCAGGTGACATCAACAACCTCAAGCACAAGTTGAAGAAGAAAATAAGGCAACAAAAAACTCCCATGTATCTTGCGTCAATTAAAGAGGCTAGCTGATCAAAGTATGTTTTTCTATGATAATTCTGGAAGTCACACTAAGATTTAACATACCACATAGTTGCCCCAGGGCAAGTTTGTTTACTATTAACATCATTACTCCTACCTCATCTTTGGAGAATGCAATTATGTAGGAAAGCTTCTTTCCCCACCCAGTTTCATAGAGAAGAGGTTTATCACAGACATTTTCACAGGGATCACAGTGAAGCCATCTCTTCTGAGATGAAGAATATACCTCAGTCCACACATGATCTGTGTAACAAAGGCCAAGAATAAACAATGAATTATAAGGATAGATCCTCTCTTCTAATATTGTAACTTTTCCTGATTCATTAAATGGTGAATGAATATGTTTTCTGTTCATCTACATTCAGAAAAGTCACCAGAACCTTCTCTTTCTATCTTAGGATCATAGTCCCTTAGATTCAACTAGACTGTACCATTGTGAAGTCAATCATCTAACCTTACCCACAGAACTGTATTTCATCTCATCCCACAAGACAGGAAATGGAATTTATACTGTCTTTGTTAGCTGAACTGCATAACTCTACATGCTGCCTGATGGCTAATATACTCCGAGAACCACAAAACATTTTGCATAGATTTGTATTAACGTTACAATATTCTAGAATACGGATACCTGTACAGTCCCAGACGTATCTAGCTTCAAACCCTACAGCTCTGCAACACAGTGTAAAACAGTTAGCCCACTCGCCACAGCGTCCACATCTGGTTTCCAGGAGTTTTTCAGGGTTGTTATACCTGCAGGAGAAAAACAAAACCTGAACAATTAAATATCCATTTGGCCTTTCAAAATCTTTACATCATGACTGTCCTTGTGATGACTTGAATGGATTTCAGAGCCATTCAGTCCACAGAAGATAATGGAAGTGACTGCTGTACTGCACAAAACAAGTACAAGCATAATGCTACTTATACTTTGACTCACATGACTCTACCACACTTAGAGCAGTACTGAAACGAATCTGGTTTTTTCAGTTTTCAAAACTGACTTAGACTTCACCTTAAAATATTATTTTTTGTATGCTTATCCTTTCGATAGTTAGCAAAAATATATAAAAAAATGGGTATTTGCTCTTTTGCTATAGATTTAGCAAAAGATGTGCATTACTCTGATTTCCCATAAAAGTGAAAACTTCCCCGAAACAATATTGGCATAGTATAAAGGTAGGTTTTTGTTAACATATTTTTATTTAGAAGTTGTACTTTATCAAATTAATAGAAAAGAAAAAAGAAGAAAATCAGACAAGTATTCAGAACAAGGCCATGTAAAAGAAAGCAATACACTGTTTTTAAAAGAACTCTAATCTTAATAGAGCAATTGCTGGTTCATCAGCCATCCTATCATGTTACTTCAAACGGCTTCTCTAATCTTTCAACCAACTATCACTTGTTCACAAAACACACAAGTGGAAAGCTGTTTCTTGAAAGGCAAGAAAAAAGACAAAGTAAATGTTTCTATACTTACCTTGGGAATCTATTACACAATTGACACTGACTGCAGTAATGATTTTCCACTCGACTGACATTCCACCTTAGATCATCATCAGTAGGCAACAGGTAGTCACTTTTAGGCTCTGTCTGCCCACCACACCTGCTGCAAGGAAGACTATTTACCCAATGAAAAAAGTCACTCTTAAACCAGTCCAAGAGCTCCAACAATAAGAAGTCCTCTTCATTCACATGTGCACCTGTGAAATTCACACAACATGCAATCAGGTGGAAAAAAAAATAAATGGAAAAATAAATTAGTTGAACTTTCCAGTATCCACATAAATCACCACCTATGGGCCTTTATTATATTTTAGAAGTCTCTTATAAAACAGCTTCATATGTTACTTAAGCACATACAAAAAAGAAAATGTAAATTCTCAAGCCTGAATAACATCAAAATGTAAATGTAAAGAACAAAAAAAATTACACTCCTAAACACTACAGCTAGAGAGAGAATAAGAAAATGCTCAGAAAAACATGGTAGATACACAGTGAAAGCCAGTGAATTTCCTCATCCCTTTCTTCCAGGGCTTTGGAAGAGTGTTACATCTTTTTCTGCTCCTGTTTCCAGCAGAGAGGAAACAGTCCAGGAGGTGCCTGGAATGTGTGGAAGATAACTTCCTAACACAGCTGGTGAGTGAGCCAACTAGGAAAGGCGCCCTGCTGGACCTGTTGTTTGAGAACGGAGAAGGACTCGTGGGTGACATGATGGTTGGAGGCTGTCTTGGGCATAGCGATCAGAAAATGATAGGTTTTGATTCTTGGAGAAGTAAGGAGGGGGGCCAGCAGAACTACCACTTTGGACTTCCAGAGCACAGACTTTGCCTGTTTAGGAGGCTAGGGAACAGTTCCTTGGGAGGCAGTCCTGAAGGGCAAAGGAGTCCAGGAAGGCTGGACATTCTTCAAGAAGGAAATTGTAAAGACACAGGAGGAGCAGGCCATTCCCACATGCCAAAAGACAAGCTGGCAGGGAAGAAAACCAGCCTGGCTGAACAGAGAGCTTTGGCTGGAACTCGGGAAAAAAAAAAAAAAGGAGAGTTTGACCTTTGGAAGAAGGGGAAGGCCACTCAGGAGGACTCCAAGGATGTTGTGAGGTTACGCAGGGAGAAAATTAGAAGTTCTAGCTCGGCTTTTGCCCTTAATCTGGCTACTGCCACAAAAAACAATAAAAAAATGTTTCTATAAATGCACTAGCAACAAAAGGAGGCCTAAGGAGAATCTCCATTCTTATTGGATATGGGGTAAAACATACTGACCAAGGATGAGGAAAAGGCTGAGGAACTTAATGCCACCTTTGCCTCAGTCTTTAATAGTAAGACCAGTTGTTCTCTGGGTACCCAGCCCCCTGAGCTGAAAGTCAGGATAGGGAGCAGAATGAAGCCCCCATAATCCAAGGGAAAACGACAAGCAACCTGCTGCACCACTTAGACACACACAGATCTACGGGGGCAGATGGGATCCGCCCAAGAGATCAGTAGAGGGAGCTGGCTGAAGCGCTCACCAATCCCCTTTCAATCATTTACCAACAGCCCTGGCTAACCAGGGAGGTACCAGTTGTCTGGAAGTTAGCAAATGTGACACCATCTACAAGAAAGGCCAGAAGGAGGACCTGGGGACCTACACGTCTGTCAGTCTGACCTCAGTGCCAGTGAAGGTTATGGAGCAGATCATCTTGAGGAAGCTGAACATGAGCCAGCAGTGTGCCCAGGTAGCCAAGAAGGCCAACAGCATCCTGGCCTGTATCAGGAACAGCATGGCCAGCAGGAGCAGGGAGGTGATTGTGCCCCTGTACTCGGCACTGGTGAGGCTGCACCTTGAATACTGTGTTCAGTTTTGGGCCCCTCACTGCAAGAAAGACATTGAGGTGTCCAGAGAAGGGCAATGAAGCTGGTGAAAGGCCTGGAGAATAGGTCTTATGAGGAGCGGCTGGGGGAAGCGGGGCAAAGGAGGCTGAGGGGCGACCTTATCACTCTCTACAACTACCTGAAAGGAGGTAAATAAAAAACCTTCTGCTAAAAACTGAATGAGATTTCAAGCACAGGCCGTATTTCCTCGATAACAACACACAAACCAGAACCCACCTTCGAAAATATGACCGTTATCATATGAATAATCTTTTCTTGGTCTGTAAAATTAATCCTTCACAAAAACATTGCATGGAAAGAATGATGAATGTGATTTACTTGAACAGAAAACAGTTGGCTGTGACATGCAGCTATTTTTGCTTGCACAATCCATCTTTCTAATTGAAAGTGATAAATGCACACAATATAAAAAAAGTCTGTACTTCTAATCAAATGACTGTAATCTTCCTAGCCTTTATGAGCAAAAAATGCCTACTATGCATTGTAAGGGAAGTCCTAAAAAACAAGTGTTCCCCCAGCACTAAGCAGTTATTTTCACAGGTGACAGTCTTAACACAGTGGTACAGATAAACCAAAGAAGTTGAAAGGGCCAATTACCTGTACATCTCATACACAGTCCATTCCCAGACTGTTTCTACAAAGCTCTTCAAAAACACTTTCAAACTCTCACAATCCAGAACAGTGGAGTTCTATCCCTTCCCTTTGAATAGATCAGCTTGATGGCTTGGGAAGAAGCATCTGGAAACACCACCTTCCTCCCTCTTTCTAATAATGTGCACAGCAGAATTAGAGCAGAGTCTAAGAGGTATGCTTGTCTTTATTTTCCATTTTAAAGGCATTTAAATAGTTTCCATTTATTACTGCTAAGTCTCTTCTCCATTGCATTGTCCTACACTGCTGAATGAGAATGCTTTGTACTTGTTTATGTAGTTTCCTACATCCCAGTACAGCTTTATAAAGAGAGAGAAACTACTAAGAAAATCCAGTGTCAAAAAGCTCCCTGATGCCAAAAGCACAATTACATCTTAGTGTGTGGTTGTATGACATATCACAAAGTCATTTATAAAAATTATGAGAACAGCTTATTTTTGGTTTGCAAATCAACAGCACTGCCATCAAGTTAACAGAATTGCTTCAGAGTCTTCTATCAAAACATTGCCAGTGAAAATGATTTTTTGGTTTAAATACAGTCTTGGAAGCATATTTTTGAACATTTATCTCGTACAAGTAAAATTTCACTGTGTTACTGAAACAAATCTAAAACTGTCACTTGAAAATAGAAATATGTCATTTTTAATTGACAAAGACTTTGCACATTCAAACCAAGTTTGCATTTATTAAGAAAATAAAACTTTAGCCAACGATGCCACAAATAGTTATGCCTATATTTCACTTCTAGCTCCAAGACGATGGCATGTGAACAACCCTATTCATTGAAGAATTAGCAAGAAAGGTGATGTGTTGTATCAGGTTGTGCCTTGGAAAGGTCTCACGGAAAATCTCACCAGTAATATCACTTTAAAAAGAGAAGCAACATTTTGAAATTTTATTCTGAATTTGGAATTGTAGGATGTATGGGAAAACGGCGCTCTGACAGTGTTGTTTCAAAACAATGACTACTCAAACAATAATCTCCCCTCCTCTTGTTGAAGCTACTTCACTCTAGATGCAAGGAATATAACAGTACATGCTCAGCCCATTTGTTTCTCTAGCATTGTTTACTAATTCAGAAGATAAGAGTTCAAAATTTCTACGTGAAAACGGTGAAGGATGGATGACAAAAATAAGAAAAAAAAAAAACACAAGAGAAGTGAGGAGAGAGAAGAACAGAAAATTAGAAAGAAGACAATTCTAATTTAGAGACAGCATCTGGAACCTGCAGACATATAGCAAATCCACACACCTAAAGCCCAGTAGATATATGCATAATCCAGATGTTTGAAAGACTACTTCTAGTTTCATATACACTATAACTTGGTAGCATTACCTTTGTCCAGTCTTGTAGCTTGTGCTAGCTTTTTCTGAGCCTTCCCTTTCAATTGCTGGAGGGGAATTGATGCTAGTGCTTTCTGCTGAATAGAAGGATTCTCATACATCAATACAAGATGCTCAAATTTTGTTTGAAGTGTTTTCAAGATATTTGCAGCCTGAAAAAGGATTTTCAGTCACAAGACGATTTATGAACATCCACCTTAAAACCAGAACCAACCTCTCCTAAATTAGAGTCAGTCACAATTCTATACTCATAGTTACATTATGTATTTCTTCGCAAGTGAAATGTTTATTTGTAAAGATATTAGTAAAAATTGCAGACACCGCCACCCAAACTGTAAAGCCAGCCTTGTAATCTTGGAGCATTCTGAATGGTGTCTCGAGTGAAAAGCATACCGACTCAGGGAGAAAAAGACACCTCTGATGGAAAAGCTTTTTTACTTAATTTCCCTCCTGCCCAGTTCTTTTGGACACCCTTTACCTGAAATCCACAAAAGAACCTGTAATTCACTCCATTTCCTGGACAGTGCTGCACCAGTTCACAGAACTCTATTATGATGAACACTGCTTTTCTATTTCTTATTCATGAATGCTGCTGGTCTATTTCTACTTCCTTCTCTCACAGATCAACTCCGACACAGATCTGAATAGACAGAGCTGTGACCATACACTGAACAGTGTACCTCACTAGAAACCAAACAGAAGAACTAGGCTTCTTCAGTCAGTTAACTGTCACTTAGGGGCAACTAAATGTTGCACCCAACAAGGTACACCCTTTATCTACTAAAATAAACAGCTAAAGTCAATAATAGTGGAGTTAGTACCCAAGCAAACTATTTACTCCCATTTAAAGGAGGACAACACAGAAAGTGAAATAGGGTTTTAAAATTAAGAGTCTGGCATATTTTGAGGGGAAGCCCTGCAGTACTGCTAAATTACCTTTTCTCTACTGCTAGATCATGCTTCACTCTGCAGCATTGTTAACTACTATCTTTGTTTCATCAAAAATCCCACACTTTCCTAAGATGTTCGCAGCAAATGCAACATAATACACAGGTGTGAGAACTCTTCAGCAGATAACTTCTTTCAAAGCAGCATTTAAATCAGGAGCGATCATTCTGATGCTGGACAGTACTACAGCACCAGCCCTTACTTTCCATAACTGCTGGAGCAGAGCAGAACTGGTTTCACTCTTCCTGGAGCTCATCAGCTGTAGGTAACTGGTTTAACATCAAAAACCAAATTGTGTTCAGATTCACTTTAATGTAAGTTGAAAAAACAGAAATAAGGGAAGTTAGGGACTGCCAATGGCTTCTAAATCTTCATGTTCTGTCAGCTTCCTGAAAAGTGTTCAGAGATACTGCTCAGCACAGCAGAAAGTCTCCCAGATTCTTTGGTAATTCAGATTTTCCCCACTGGCAAACAACATCAGTGTTACAGTGGTGCTTTACTGGTTTAATGGAAGCAACTGTGTACCAATGAAGTCTTATGCAAACATCTAGATGTGTGGTGAACCTCACTGCAAAACTAAGTTTGGATACCTCTTTCCTCCTATAATCACTATGTCATCCAGGAAGGGATCAGAATCCATCCACCAGAACAATGACTAGCCAGAGCTTTCCTTTCTCCAAGTCTCAAGAGCACCTTACAATAAAAAATGTGGACAAGCCACAGATGAGGCAAAATAATGATGGGTTAGGTACCCAGAACAGTACCATTTAGGAATATTCCTGTGCTGTCTCAAGTAATCCACTTTTCCCTGTGCTTACCAGGACTCCCATGAATCACAGGTGTAATGCATAGGCAAGAAATAAAAATGCCTGCACTACAAAAAACACTCAAAATCTCTCCAACATCTGACAGCAGCACATATAACAATAATACAACCATACCGCTGCAGTATACTCACTGAAAAACAAAACACCTATGGCTGTGCAAGAAAAATGGCCAAGTCCTAGGCAGAAAGTATTTATTTTATGGACTTTCTTCCAACCTACTCAGACTATACAGACCAAATTCAATGGCTCAGAGCACTATCAGTATAACTCCCTGAGGAGATCCACTGAAATACAGCATTCTAGGAGTGCCAATGCTGCATTATCAATGCTTCTAAATCGTAATAATTTTTGTCCCACCACCCATTTGAATCTCAAGAAGCACAGAAAAACAATAGTTGCAGAGAAATGGATCCACAACTCTGATGGCTAGCCCAAGACAAGGCAGAATAACTACAAATGGGAAGGGTTAACCTCAGAATACATCAAGTGACAACTTGAAATCTGCAACTTTTTTTCACTGCAAGATCAACACAACTTTTAAAGCTTCCAGTACCAACCACTACTGCAGCAAGTCACTCTAAAAGTGATTATGAAACCTCTAACCACCATTGTAGAAGTAGCTGAAACAGTGAAACCCAACAAGCAGACTAAAACCCCACAATTTTCAAACAAACCCAGTCAGTATATTTTAAAGGCAATTACTGGCATGGCAACATAATTAGATTAAATGGATCAATATTCAAGTGCCTACAACAGTTCCTTTCCCAAACGACATTATGGGTGATGATAGGGCACTAAGTGCTCTCTCTCTCCCTAAAGGCCATCACTTCAATCTATGCTTTGCCATTTCTCTTCCACTGATCTTGGGTAGGTATTGGGAAGAAACAGTATATCATAGTTCAGCATCCAACAATATATTGATCATATAATTTAAGAGCAACAAACTCTGTTTAAGGATGTATGAGAAGCAAGCTTTTGGAAGGCTTCATCTTACACCAACTTCAAGACCAAAGTGACATTGGTTCTAGAGGGAAAAGACTCTTTATAACCAAAGCATCCTTCAAACCTTCTATCAAAACGTCATTTTTCAAAGGTGTATGGTAATAGTTTTCTCCCATCAGGCCAGATAACATCAGATGAAAGGATCTGCCTCTCTGTCTTGGTAGGGAACTTCATCTCAGCCTCCTGGACAAGGGAAACAAAGCCTAAATGACTACAGGCTTGTTGTCCTTGCCTGGCTAAATTCCTGTCTCTCACAACAGTCCCCTGCCAAAAGAGAAAGCCCTCACAGGCTCCACATAGAGACCATAATGCATGAACTGAGACGCCAACAGTTATAAACATTACAGTTGTGCTACTGTTCTTTTGCTGGCTGTCAAGTACCAACCACAGTATACCGCACTAGCTGTAGCTTACTCCTGCACTTTGTTCCCCCACAATACAACTCAGCTTTTTTTTTTCACAACACCTTCATCAATAAAACATTTATGGACATTTCAACAAAATCTCTTGCCAATATTCCATTTATGGCATGTTCCATATTGAAGTTGGATGGAGACAGAAGAAAACACTCAGAAACCATTGCAAAAATAAAAAATTCCTCTAGTCCAATCTCCTGCTCAAAGCAGGGTCAGCTACGAGGTCAGACCAAGTCGCTCTTGGCTTTATCCAGTCAGCTCTTGAAAACATCCGTATTTGGAGACTACACAACTTCTCTGAACAACCTGTCGCAACAGTTAACTCTTTTTCAATCTTTATACTCAAGATTAGCACGCCTACAAAGTTTCCAGGTTATAATTACCATTTCAAGAGATCGCACAAGTGATGTTTCTGGTTGCTGATGGGCAGGGGCAAGAACAGAATCAGCAGGTCTTGAAGGCTGATGCGCAACTGTCCGAGTGCTGGTCACAGTTTCGGAGGATCCCGATCTGTGGATTTGATTTGACTCATTCAATCTGCTACTCCTTTCTCCAGCAATTAAGTCTCTTATTTTACGTAGCTGCTCAATCGAAGCTTCCTTAGGGAAGACCAGGTGAGTTTCTCCCTGAAATTCAGACAAATTCAGCAGTTAACATGGGTCTAAGCTAATCAGCTGTTTGTATCTATTGTTAACAACTCTATCATTTACTGGAAGTTAGCACACTAAAGCTTGGCAGGATTCAGCCTTCAGATTAGGTCTCTTACAGCAGAAGCTATTAGACCGAGAACCTAGGCAGTCTGGAGAAAAAGGGCTCATAATAACATGCTTTTGTTACTAACTTATTTTACAGAGCCATACACGGACAATGCAACTATGGTTTGGCAGAGAAAGCGGCAACAACAGAAACAAACAACAAATGCTCAGTTCTCACAGTACTTCAGTGAAAGACTAGGCAACACAGGAGGATACCCAATGTTGAGAGAAGAAGCCCCTAGAATGGCATCTGCTGGGAATTCTCTTCTATACTGATATCCTTTTACGTTTTACGAGTTTTCAGACGGGAAACATTCTTAGACCTGTACCCAGCTTGATTTCTGGATTCTTATTTTTGACTGTAACATGAATACTGGTAGCATAACAAAAGATGAGTAATTATGACAGAAGCAAAATATCAGTGCACTTAACATGAAGAAACAGGTTACCAAAACCATTAACATTCTGAAACATTCACAGTTTAAGAGTTTCAGTTTCTACTGCTGCAGCATTTCTATTTATTAAACCAAGTAATTTGTTTATCCACTGTTACCATAGGTCACCTACCACTGCAGACAAAGTGCTTCACTTTAACATTTACAACCGCCACAAAACTAAATGGCATGTACAACCCAGAAGAAGTGTCCTCATTTTTCAATCAAAGAAGTTGGCTTACCAAGCAGAGACAAAAGAAAGAACAATTTTAGTTACTGCAGTTGGAGTTTGTGAGCTCCAGCCTCAATTGACACAATAATCATAAGATTGAGCCAAAACGCTCTTAAAGATCTGACAGAAGTGGGAGTAGCACTTAACATGTATAAAATGTCTCTTATTACCGCTCGAGTGCTTCACTAGCTACATTGATTACCTCTTGGCCAAAACACATCATTAGAAATTATCTCCTGAGCAATAGCGTGAGAGTAAATCTGTAGACCACTTCTCCCTCTGCAGTCACCATTTCTTTCAGCGTGCTTTATTTTAAAAAAAAAATTACGACAGCTACACTAATTAACTTCACTAGAAGAGAAGCCAGAGGTCTCATGACAGCTGGACCTAAATAACATAAAGTACATACTCAAATAGACAAACTAAAACAAAGCTGGAACAAGAGCTTTGTACCATTAAACAAGAGTTACTTTTTCACCCCAGCTCTCCTGTAATTAGAAAGGCTGCTTCTAGCTTAACAAGCTTTGGCAGTTTAAGTTCCACCAAGACAGGGACCATTTGAGGACACAAAGCAATCTTCGAAATAAATCTTTTTGACTGCAACAGACAAGACTATTTTAGGACACAGTTTCATAACCATTTTAAAAGGGTGAAAGTCCCACCCTCCCACTACTTCAGCAGCCTGTTGCCCTCCTCTGCTGTCATGACAACACTAGTACTTGTGCAGCTGTGCTGTGAATTGGCTGAAAAATTTCTTTTTATTTTGGAGGATTAATTTTTAATCAGATCAGCTTCCCTTACTAACTCACTATGGGGCCACACAAGCCCTACTGACAGTACAAATAAGCAGCAAAAAAGCAGGACTTTTGCCCCTGCCCCCCTTCCAAATGACAGTTTCAACACACAGATTTACAATATGGAAACTACTGTCTGATGGTGCAGCCTGATGTCCACCTAATTGTGGGCTGCTACTAAGAGAAGGGGTTTTCACCCCATTTCCCGTTATTTCCTTTGTGCCAGCATGGATAAACACCTGACCATTAAGCAAACTAGTAGTGTGGCTGAACAGCAGAAAACCAATCTTATCACAGATGAGGTTAGCTCTAGCTCCGCCAGATTTCTGTAGCAGCCTCACCTAGATTTCCTTTTGGTTAACTGCAGACATTTGCAAACAAGGATTGAAAGAAAATCGCAATAGGCTTAAAATCCAGTGCCTTGCAACTGGGAAAGTAGAAAAAAAAGTCCAATTCTAAATTTTAGTATGTAAACTAATGAAGACACTAGAAATTACTAAATTATACTCACCTCTTGAAACCCCATCTCAAATAAACATTCAACTGCTCCTCTGACAGGCAGCAGCCTCGTGGAAAATGCTGGATTTCCAATCCGAATTAATCTGTATTTTTCTTCATAAGGATTCCTGAAGGAATTGAAAGTTTTAATTATGTTTGCAATTAAGTAAACACTTAAAAGCTGGGTAACTGCACTAAGCAGTATTAGTCATTCATGAGAGACTTTAAATAAAGTTTCATACACACCGTCTAGGCAGAACGTAAAACCTATCTAAAACTTTTACTTAATTCACGTCCTTCTGCATTTACCTTTGAGTGTTACAAACTGGTTCTAAATTGTAGTTTGCAACCTAAGCTCACAAACACCTGTTTTGTAGTCCTGGCTGGCAGGGCTTAGTCTGCAGTGACACTTAAAGACAACTTCACTTCCCCCTCCACCTGGTAGCATTCAACTGAACTCCCCAGCTCGATGCTGGATGGCTTTAGGCCCACTACAGAAGCTACGCTAAACTTCCTGGTACATGGGCTACCTCTCAGCTCCCCCTTTCCTCTTTCAACTCTTCTAGACCTTCTTCTCTTACATCTTTCTTTAAAAACAGTCAGCCCAGGACCCACTGTTCTCTGTCACACAGCAGGTTTTGCAAGTGGTTGACAAACCAGATATAGACAGGGAGGCAGTTCGTACATCATGAGCTTCTTGAAGACATCAAGGTCAACCATACATACAGGTGTGTACAGGCACCCTACAGAGCCACCTCGCAAAACTCCAACAATAATTAACTCTCTATACCAATCTTACTGAGTCAGAAGAGAAAGGCAACAGAAAAATCAAGGTACTATTTTAGTATTAGTGCTATGCATCCACTGGTGCTTATATATTTGCAGAATCTGGGCCAGTGCAGGCTTTTATATTTAACACAAAAAACAAGCCCTCAAAACAAACCACCCAGCAACAAATACAGAAATAAAAACCCAAGCCACTACACACTTACATAATCTTATTTTTAAATACTTAAAGAGAAACAAGATGCTTTTGAACTTGGACATGACATAACAAAATCGAACCACATGGCTCATCTTTGAGGTGGTCTGTCTGAAGGCCCAGAAATCAATCGCCTCCGAAGTCCTGTCAGTAGCCCAACAGGCATTATCAAGTTCACAATCGGACTCCTCGTTCTTAAAGACGCGCCAGTCAAAGCACTGGACTCCCCCGACGGCGGCCCGCGGTGCCCACAGACCCCTTCGCACCCTCTCGCAGTCGAGACCACCGAGCCACGGCC